TCTGTGTGGACATGTATCACTGTGTCAGGCATTTAAAACTGTCAATGTTCCTTAGACACGTATAACGGAACATCTAGAGCTGTCAGTGTTCCCTGGGTAAGTATCTAAGATGTGCTTCTTATATCACTACTCACTACACCGTTACAAATGCCAGGAAAGGCAGTTACCAGCCGGCGACTTACCAATTTTAGCACAATTACCCCTATTAACTAATTAACAAAACACTGTGTTAATATTTGAACATACAAGACCAGTTCAAGACGCTGCAAATTCCTCAAGTGAACGCAATAGCTTATAAAATACATCAACATCTCCAAACATTATATTATACTCATTATTCCAAGAATGATATACCAAAGATATTATACTTTTGCTCTAAATTCAAAGTAGGACATTATATATGCATTGGAATGAAACGCTCGCTTGATGTAAGTGATTGACAGCTGTTTAGCCCTTCATATCCCAGCTCTGTCTGTCCTCATATCCCAGCTTTAAGCCTGTCCACATATCCCAGCTTTAAGACTGTCCTCATATCCCAGCTCTCAGTCTCCTCATATCCCAGCTCTCAGCCTATCCTCATATCCCAGCTCTCAGTCTCTCCTCATATCCCAGCTCTCAGCCTATCCTCATATCCCAGCTCTCAGCCTGTCCTCATATCCCAGCTCTCAGAGTCTCCTCATATCCCAGCTCTAAGTCTCTCCTCATATCGAGGTTGTTAGTCTATCTCATATCCTCTCATAGTCATCTCATATCACCCTATATATATATATATATATATATATATATATATATATATATATATATATATATATATATATATATATATATATATATATATATATATATATATGTCGTACCTAGTAGCCAGAACGCACTTCTCAGCCTACTATGCAAGGCCCAATTTGCCTAATAAGCCAAGTTTTCATGAATTAATGTTTTTTCGACTACCCAACCTACCTAACCTAACCTAACCTACCTTTTTCGGTTATCTAACCTAACCTAACCTATAAAGATAGGTTAGGTTAGGTTAGGAAGGGTTGGTTAGGTTCGGTCATATATCTACGTTAATTTTAACTCCAATAAAACAAAATTGACCTCATACATAATGAAATTGGTAGCTTTATCAGTTCATAAGAAAAAAAATTGAGAAAATATATTAATTCAGGAAAACTTGGCTTATTAGGCAAATCGATCCTTGCATAGTAGGCTGAGAAGTGCGTTCTGGCTACTAGGTACGACATATATATATATATATATATATATATATATATATATATATATATATATATATATATATATATATATATATATATATTGGGTGATAAATTGAGGTTGAAATAGGCCTTAATAATCCTCCAGAAGTTGATATAGGCCTTAATAACCCTCTAAAAGTTGATAGGCCTAACCAAACACAGCCGGTCTGTGGTTTCACAAATAAAATAACAATTAAATTATTGTTACAAAAACAAATGCAGTAAAAACACCGATTTGATATGTCTATTGTTGACAATTCGTACGATAGATACTTCTATTGTTGACAATTCGTACGATAGATACTTCTATTGTTGATAATTCGTACGATAGATATTTCTATTGTTGACAATTCGTACGATGGATACTTCTATTGTTGAGAATTCGTACGATAGATATTTCTATTGTTGACAACTGGTACGATAGATACTTCTATTGTTGACAATCCGAACGATAGATACTTCTATTGTTGACAATTCGTACGATAGATACTTCTATTGTTGACATAACTTGTTTCGATACACGCTTCTACTGTTGACCCAACCTGTGCGATAGATGCTTCTATTGTTGACCCAACCAGCACGATAGACGCTTCTATTGTTGACACAACTCGTGCGATAGACGCTTCTATTGTTGACAATTCGTACGATAGATACTTCTATCGTTGACACAACTCGTGCAATAGATACTTCTATTGTTGACACAACACGAACGATAGATAATTCGGCCTCACGTTCAAACAGCTGATCGTGCGCGCGTAATTCCAGCCCTCGACACACATGAGGTCTGACGCTCACTGAGTCAGCTGATTCACTGATAGATCTCTCCAGTTGGCACGCCTGCCTGACAACATCCTGGAAGCATTACCACCATAACCGAAAAAATATTACTTCGAGTTATTTTAACTGATCAATATACCATTACAGAACTTCCTTGTGCTAGTTTAAATATTATTATAATCTACTATGATTAGAAGATTGTAATTAATCACGTTTGGAGAGATTGGGAGGTAAATACATTGAGGTATTTAGGCAGGAAGGGTTGGCAGGCCTGTCATGACCGCGAGGAAAATACACCGCCATTAAAACCTCATACGGCAATGTTTTTATATTTTTTATTTTTTTTTGCTGTTAGAAACCGGCTTGTCAAGGCTGGAACTTATTTATGCTCATCCTGAGCTCACCATGGGCTTCTGTAACCTTTCCTACTGTTCCCACAGGATGGGTATGGGGTCCACTACCATCCACAAGATGGGTATGGGGTCCACTACCGTCCACAAGATGGGTATATGGGGTCCACTACCACCCACAGGATGGGTATGGGGTCCACTACCGCCCACAGGATGGGTATGGGGTCCACTACGTCCACAGGATGGGTATGGGTCCAATACCGCCCATAGGATGGGTATGGGGTCCACTACCGCCCACAGGATGGGTATGGGGTCCTCTACCACCCACAGGATGGGTATATGGGGTCCACTACCACCCACAGGATGGGTATATGGGGTCCACTATCACCCACAGGATAGATATGGGGTCCACTACCACTCACAGGATGGGTATGGGGTTCACTACCTCCCACAGGATGGGGATGGGGTCCACTACCACCCACAGGATGGGTATATGGGGTCCACTACTGCCCACAGGATGTGTATGGGGTCCACTACCACCCACAGGATAGGTATGGGGTCCACTACCACCCACAGGATGGGTATGGGGTTCACTACCACCCACAGGATGGGTATATGGGGTCCACTACCACCCACAGGATGGGTATATGGGGTCCATTACCACCCACAAGATGGGTATGGGGGTCCACTACCCCCCACAGGATAGGTATGGGGTCCACTACTACCCACAGGATGGGTATATGGGGTCCATTACCACCCACAAGATGGGTATATGGGGTCCATTACCACCCACAGGATGGGTATTGGGCCCACTTTCACCCACAGGATGGGTATGGGGTCCACTACCGCCCACAGGATGGATATATGGGGTCCACTACCACCCACAGGATGGGTATGGGGGTTCACTACCACCCACAGGATGGGTATGGGGGTCCACTACCACCCACAGGATGGGTATGGGGCCCACTTTCACCCACAGGATGGGTATGGGGTCCACTACCGCCCACAGGATGGATATATGGGGTCCACTACCACCCACAGGATGGATATATGGGGGTCCACTACCACCCACAGGATGGATATATGGGGTCCACTACCACCCACAGGATGGGTATGGGGCCCACTTTCACCCACAGGATGGGTATGGGGTCCACTACCGCCCACAGGATGGATATATGGGGTCCATTACCACCCACAAGATGGGTATGGGGGTTCACTACCACCCACAGGATGGGTATGGGGTCCACTACCACCCACAGGATGGGTATATGGGGTCCATTACCACCCACAAGATGGGTATGGGGTCCACTACCACCCACAGGATGGGTATTGGGCCCACTTTCACCCACAGGATGGGTATGGGGTCCACTACCGCCCACAGGATGGATATATGGGGTCCACTACCACCCACAGGATGGGTATGGGGGTTCACTACCACCCACAGGATGGGTATGGGGGTCCACTACCACCCACAGGATGGATATATGGGGTCCACTACCACCCACAGGATGGGTATGTGGGGTCCACTACCACCCACAGGATGGATATATGGGGTCCGTGGACCTTACCAAGTCCTAACATGGCTAGTATCACGAGTTACTGTCAGTATGAGTACATGATTTTAAGTGTGGTGAGAATATGAGTATCGTATTAGTATGAAAGTGAGTATGAGTGTAGCATGTAAGTTGTGAAAGTGAATTATGAGTGAAGAAGGTTAGAAATAGCTTAAGCTTCTCTATCCTTTTTGGGATGTTTAATAATGTCAATAAACTTACCTGAACTTGAGTGTGTTGTAAGTGTGTCTCAACCTACCCTCTGCCTTAGGGACTTGGGACCCGCCACTGGAAGAGTGGGTGGCATTCTAGGTTGATGTGAACCTCTAACAAAATAGTTTTGTTTTATTACAAAAATTAACATCTTTTTTCTTGTGGTGCAGTGGTAAGACCTCGCCTGACATTCCGCGAGCGCTTTGTCCTGGGTTCGTATCTTGGCTGGGGAGGATTTATTGGGCACAAATCCTTAACTGTAGTCTCTGTTTAACTCAACAGTAAAATGTGTACTTGGTTGTAACAAGGATTCTTCATGGCGGGGATCGTATTCCAGGGACCTGTTCAAAACGCTACGCGTACTAGTTATCTTGAGATCTTGAGGTTATCTTGAGATGATTTCGCGGCTTTTTAGTGTCCCCGCGGCCCGGTCCTCGACCAGGCCTCCACCCCCAGGAAGCAGCCCGTGACAGCTGACTAACACCCAGGTACCTATTTACTGCTAGGTAACAGGGGCATATAGAATAGTGGACAAGAATATGACAAGAGTTCTTCTGGATAAGAACATAACAACTTTTCTATATATTTCAAAAAACAAAAATGAGATATCGATTCGATTCAAAATATAAATAATTATAACTATTTTAAGCACAGCTCTGGAACATATAAGTTTAACAACTTTCGGCCATTTTTATTTTTATTTATTTATTTTTATTTATTATCAAATGTATGATCAAAGGGTTTAGGTTAATTGACCACACTCATTTAAAAGAGGTTTGGGTTAACGCAATACATCAACCTAGGACGTCAAACAGACATACTCATCTTGAACTGCGGACTTACTAATTCTGAGACAAAATCACTATTACTGGGATGATGTGGACGTCAGTCTTCTATACCAGCTTTATACCAGCGGTCTCGGCAAGTGATCTGACTAGTTTCTTATTTGGTGTTGATATGCCTTATGGTTTGGCAGCATTTTATTGCGAACACAGTGATACCAAATTTAAATACGTACGCCTACAATTAATGTCAGGACAGTCAAAAGAGTCTTACACTCTTCGGTCTTACCGCTTAGGCGCGCGAAACGCCCAAAGCACAATGGGTATGGTTTTTTCAGAAGTCAGCAAGCGCGAAAGTGTTTAATTTATAAAATTTTAAATTTTACCAATTATTAAAGACCAAATTCACTCCTCGAAAAATGCTACTTAATCTTGGGAAGAAATCATATTCATCAAAACAAAAGCCGAAAAAAAGTAACATTAAAACAATAGTAATCTTGCAAATAGTATTAAAGATCGTATCGGTAAACGTATAATTAATTACGTTGATTATATATTCACCATTTTCATCCCAAAAATAGAGAAATTTCATGCTTACTCTCAGAATTTTCTGAACCGTTCGAGAAATTGTATGGGCCATTGCTATCACTGACGAAAACTGACGCTTGAAGATGTTCCTAGAGCTTGCAAGCAAGGGATGGAAAATCGGTGCGAGGATTCTGAAAACGTGAGTAATATCAACGTTTTCAAAATACATTTTCAAGGATAAAATATTAATTAGTACAGGTTATGGCTAGCTCGTACAAGGTGAAACCCTTGTCCGCGGTTTATATAGTGTCTCTGCCACTGGTGGAGCACAAGCTCCTCCCACGTTATCTCCAGACTCCCTAATCGTGAAATGATTCTTAAAAAAAAACAAAAACATATTTGAGTGGAAAATATTGTAATGATGCAAACATGTTCTTCGTATTGGCATTAGGGGTTATAATAGCATGGAAATATTCAATGGAAATACGAGATTTGTAAATCACAGGAGTCGTGAAGGATTGAAATGTTTGAGACAGCAGCAATAAGCGCGTATGTGTGGATACGCACGTAGTCTGTGAGGAAATACCCAGAAACCTTCGCACGCACACACACACACACACAGAGGAAAGTGTAAGGTAATGAAATTAGGCGAAGGGAGCAGGAGGCTGAACACAAGGTATCATGTGGGAGGTGAAATCCTGCAAGAGTCAAATAAAGAGAAAAATCTGGGGGTTGATATCACACCGAACCTGTCCCCAGAGGCGCACATCAAAAGAATATCATCAGCGGCATATGCTAGACTGGCCAACATAAGAACTGCCTTTAGAAACTTGTGTAAGGAATCGTTCAGGACCCTGTATACCACTTATGTAAGACCAATCCTGGAGTATGCAGCTCCAGCTTGGAGTCCATACCTAGTTAAACACACACAAAGTTAGACAAGATTCAGCGGTATGCCACCAGGCTCGTCCCGGAACTGAGAGGAATGAGCTACGAGGAAAGGCTAAAGGAGCTGAACCTCACATCCCTGGAAAACAGAAGAGTAAGGGGAGACATGATAACCACCTACAGAATTCTCAGGGGAATTGACAGGGTGGACAAAGACAAACTCTTCAGCACGGGTGGGACACGAACAAGGGGACACAGGTGGAAACTTAGTACCCAGATGAGCCACAGAGACATTAGAAAGAATTTGTTCAATGTCAGAGTAGCTGCATTTAGCAGTGATGTGGTGAATAAGATAAGACTATCGATAAGACTATCAACACACCACCACCCAGGCATATCACAGCATGCAGAAGGCCACAACTCTCCTTAAACCAAGATAATCAAACCACGTGAAATGCTGCACTATTATGAACATAGTCACCGACTTTGGGAAATAAAATGTTTAATCAAAAACAACAAAAATCAACACATGCAAGAAGGATACTGTGGCTTGCCCAAGCTTAGAGCAAAACGCTTCACGCTTCCCTTCCGTATAGTGAATCTGAAAGGTCACAGACTGTGTATTCCTACATAGGTATGTTTGCTAGGAATGGGTTTTAGCTCTTGGAACCCCTTCTTTTACCTATAAATCGACTGATGGGAGACATCATAACCCAATTGGCCTTTCAGATAATTAGGTTTGAATAACGAATGGAGTTTGGTCCCTTGTTGGTAGGACCAGGCTTGTCCCACACCCTCTGAGACTTCTGGGAATTGAATTATTTATTTGAATTATTAATTAATTGATTAAATAAATGTTTTATAGTGTATAATTGATTTATTTATTATTTCTTACGATAGCTTAGTGGACTGTATTGTTTACTGAGTGGGCTGTAAGGATATAAATGCTCCCACAAGTCATATCCCTACACAAGTTTGGGGAGTTATATAATTATAATAGCCTAGCAACCGAGAATTATCGATTGACAGCAAAATTTATATTAAAGTTCCTTCTACTGAGATTAGTTTAAATGACTGATAGTCTTATCTGTTTACAAGACGGCAATTTGGATGCAAGTAGGACACACGGGATATCAGCCAGATAGCCTCGTGACTA